TATTTAAGGTATCAATAACTTGTTAAGAAATGATTTGAAACACGCATCCTAATGATAAACAGTCACTAACAACACTAACGTTACTTCAATGCATCAAACACTAAAAACGACAAACCAATTTTTCAATTAGGTTCCCTGTGGATGGTTTTAAACTCATATGTCGCTACGTGTTTACTTCTGTAACGTTAGTATAGTTGATGTTGTCAACCTGTCTCCCATGGAGTCCGTTCAATTTCATTTCCTAGCAACGTTTCGCCAGTAAACCGAGTCTGAAAAGGATCTGGGATCAACTACGCTCAATTGACTCGAACTGTTATAGAGCGATGCATTCAGTACTCATTGAAGAGGATACATCGTCGTTTCGAAGCGCTCCAGAGCCCTCTGCTGGTCAAAGAGATGTATATAATGCTAAAAAGCAACATGCTGTAACAGCTAGAGACAAATGTTTGGAAATTACGGTCACATTTTTTTTTACAAGGGTTAGTCTCCATTCTAATATAATTATATTTACATACTAATGTAATATTTTTTTTGCTTCTTTAGATATATTCCTGTGAAATACAGCTTGCTTATTTCCACAGAGGCTGTAGGCCTATGCTTTAGCAGAAGACAATTCCCATTTCTGTATTCATAAATACAATTTATTCCTAAATATTTGACTGCTGAATGCTGAGATTGACTAATAAGAATGTAGTACTCCTGTGAGCTGTGTAATAAAGTATTTTACATAACAGTTCCTGTGGTACGCGAATCTGAATGAACGAGAGGCACATAATTCACCAGTCTATGGGACTTTTCAACAATTGTAACGCTTTCAGAGGCGGACAGTAACTAAGTACATTTACTTGAGTATTGTACTTCAGTACACTTTTTGAGTATCGGTACTTTACTTGAGTATTATTTTTTCTGGGAACTTATGACTTTAACTTCATTACTTTTGAAAGACAAATATTGTACTATTGTTGTCAGAAGTGGGATTCGAACCCACGCCTCCAGAGGAGACTGCGACCTGAACGCAGCGCCTTAGACCGCTCGGCCATCCTGACACGTTACACGCTATTACGTCATCACGTTAAATAGTAATAACACAGTCATAACGTCGTTTTCATAACTTTAGCCGTTTTTAGTAACGTTTCATGAGTTAAAATATTGTTGTTTGTGACTTGTGATTAAGTTATGCAATTAAGGATGTTATATTAGATTACTTGTAAGTATTTAAGGTATCAATAACTTGTTAAGAAATGATTTGAAACACGCGTCCTAATGATAAACAGTCACTAACAACACTAACGTTACTTCAATGCATCAAACACTAAAAACGACAAACCAATTTTTCAATTAGGTTCCCTGTGGATGGTTTTAAACTCATATGTCGCTACGTGTTTACTTCTGTAACGTTAGCATAGTTGATGTTGTCAACCTGTCTCCCATCCGAGTCCGTTCAATTTCATTTCCTAGCAACGTTTCGCCAGTAAACCGAGTCTGAAAAGGATCTGGGATCAACTACACTCAATTGACTCGAACTGTTATAGAGCGATGCATTCAGTACTCATTGAAGAGGATACATCGTCGTTTCGAAGCGCTCCAGAGCCCTCTGCTGGTCAAAGGGATGTATATAATGCTAAAAAGCAACATGCTGTAACAGCTAGAGACAAATGTTTGGAAATTACGGTCACATTTTTTTTTACAAGGGTTAGTCTCCATTCTAATATAATTATATTTACATACTAATGTAATATTTTTTTTGCTTCTTTAGATATATTCCTGTGAAATACAGCTTGCTTATTTCCACAGAGGCTGTAGGCCTATGCTTTAGCAGAAGACAATTCCCATTTCTGTATTCATAAATACAATTTATTCCTAAATATTTGACCGCTGAATGCTGAGATTGACTAATAAGAATGTAGTACTCCTGTGAGCTGTGTAATAAAGTATTTTACATAACAGTTCCTGTGGTACGCGAATCTGAATGAACGAGAGGCACATAATTCACCAGTCTATGGGACTTTTCAACAATTGTAACGCTTTCAGAGGCGGACAGTAACTAAGTACATTTACTTGAGTATTGTACTTCAGTACACTTTTTGAGTATCGGTACTTTACTTGAGTATTATTTTTTCTGGGAACTTATGACTTTAACTTCATTACTTTTGAAAGACAAATATTGTACTTTTCACTCCACTACATTTCTATCAAGGTCCTCGAAGTAGAAAGTTGTCACTATGTAGCAGCTTTGAAAGTCAGTGGGTGATTTCTTTCTTCTCTAAAAACTTTAGAGAAAGTCTTTTTTTCAGACAGTTTATCAGTAATCACTCTTGGGGCTACTTGAAGTATTTCGAAGCGCTCCAGAGCCCTCTGCTGGTCAAAGGGATGTATATAATGCTAAAAAGCAACATGCTGTAACAGCTAGAGACAAATGTTTGGAAATTACGGTCACATTTTTTTTTTACAAGGGTTAGTCTCCATTCTAATATAATTATATTTACATACTAATGTAATATTTTTTTGCTTCTTTAGGTATATTCCTGTGAAATACAGCTTGCTTATTTCCACAGAGGCTGTAGGCCTATGCTTTAGCAGAAGACAATTCCCATTTCTGTATTCATAAATACAATTTATTCCTAAATATTTGACCGCTGAATGCTGAGATTGACTAATAAGAATGTAGTACTCCTGTGAGCTGTGTAATAAAGTATTTTACATAACAGTTCCTGTGGTACGCGAATCTGAATGAACGAGAGGCACATAATTCACCAGTCTATGGGACTTTTCAACAATTGTAACGCTTTCAGAGGCGGACAGTAACTAAGTACATTTACTTGAGTATTGTACTTCAGTACACTTTTTGAGTATCGGTACTTTACTTGAGTATTATTTTTTCTGGGAACTTATGACTTTAACTTCATTACTTTTGAAAGACAAATATTGTACTTTTCACTCCACTACATTTCTATCAAGATCCTCGAAGTAGAAAGTTGTTACTCTGTAGCAGCTTTGAAAGTCAGTGGGTGATTTCTTTCTTCTCTAAAAACGGTCTTTTTTTCAGACAGTTTATCAGTAATCACTCTTGGGGCTACTTGAAGTGATTTCCCAGCATTTTTTGAACACTGACTAGTTCCAAATGTGATATTTATTTACAACAATTCAATAATAAGAAATTAATATTGTGGTATATATTAGACACAATATTGTCTGATTTTGCTAAATTGTGTACATGAAAATATTACCTATAAAGCCACAGAAGA